AACCCGCGCAACCGGCTTCCGCGGGATACGACGGTCAATAGCGGGGAAAAAAGGAGGAGGGGGGAAAAAAAGAAAGAAAAAAGGCCCGTGTAAGCAAGGATAATATCAGCATCCAGGGCAGGAGAGGCCTTTGCAAGCCGTGTGTTTTGAGGGCATAAACTCATCTCCTGCTGGGGTGAGGAAGGAGTTCCCTCCTAACGTGACAGGCAGTTAAAGGTGTGAGGATGGGCTGGCTGATCCTCAGCCCTAGGGACTGTTGTTTCCAGTGGGGTAATTGCTGTGCTTTAAGACTTTTTTCTTTATTATTGGAATTGTTCTTTAAGAATCTCAAAGCATCAACCTAAAATCTCAATTTTGGAGTTTGTCACTTTTTTAAAATTTTGCTTATCCTTGAAGAGCTGGTGGCCTTGCGTGCTTCTCATTATAGCATAGCATGCAAATACTTACAATAATTATGGATAAGGAGTAGTTCTAGATCTCGGAAATAGACTGGTGCATACCCCTGGAGCGATTTCAGAAACTTCTGGAGGGGCAATGCGTGAACTCGCTCTGCCTGGTGCTTTAGCCTGAGTATGTAAGAAGTGGGACTGGGGCGATTCCTACCTTCCGTCCAGCTCTGTACTGGTAACCCGCCAACAGTTTACAGCTTCATTTCCATAAACTGGAGTAGATGGCATCCACCCTCTTCTTTTAAGAGGTGTGGTCCATCAGGAGGCAGGTCCCGGCATGCAGCGAGGCTCGGCTGTGGGGTGAAAGAGGAATGTTGCACGATCTTGGGAGTTGTCACCTCTAGAGACTTAGCTGTATATAAAAATATTTCATTCTATGCCAGACTGTGTCCGCAGGAATGAAAGGACTGTTTTAAAAAGAGTGCCTCTAAAAGGAAGAGGGATGAGGGACAGCAGCTTAGAAATAACGTTAAACCCTGGGCATTTTTGGGAGCCTGCGGATTATTGAAACCAAACACTCCAGTCTGAATAAAGCAGTAACTCTCTTGCTCACTGATGAGTTTCAAAACTGTTCAGGTAAGATAAACAGGATGGTGAAAACTTCTTCTCCCTTTGAACAATTAAGTGAGCTTTCTTAGCTGACCCTTCTTACTTGAGCAAAGTCCCTACAGTGTACCCAGTGGGGGGGGGGGGGGTGGAACTGTGGTGGATGTCTGTGGTTCTCTGTTGTTGTAATTAAATCTTGCTGTGTAGTTTGAGTATTGATTTTTTTCCCCCCCCCCTCTCTTTTTAAGCGCTTACTCCAACAGAAAGGCTTTGTCCCCGTTTCCACAACAGTTTGCTTGCCTTGTTTATTGATGTTTTGGAAAGCCTTGCAATGAGAAGGGGCCTGATATTGGTTGGATGGCTGTTTCATCTGCTTTCCCCCTATATGCAAATATGACAAGAGGGTAGTAGGTTTGTGTGTTTTTAGAGCAGGTCAGTTGAAAAGCTGCTGCTGATCTAAGTTGTACCAGATATTTAAAAATAATACAGATGATCTTTGCTTTGCGTGGGTTCTCTAATTCACTCTACCGTTCAGTAAGGTAGGAGTTTGTTTTAGAAACTCTTATGCCACAGAAATTTGCTTGTAGCATTGACATGGCAAAGCCAATAGACTTTTTGGGGCTTGCTATCTTCTGCAAGCAAAGAAGCCCTGCTAGCCTTCTTCTCTTTTCTGATCTTCAAATAACTGTGTGTAGGAAGTGGGGGATCATGAAGCGTGTGTGGTTTCTCTGCACAAGAACGGTGTGGGTCAGAGGCACAGGGTTTGTTTAGTGAGATCTCTGTCATCTGGAGCATGTAGAATTTCCTGAGTTCAGGAGGTTTCTTTTCTTTAGAAGTAATCTCGGAGCAACTATGGACGAGACAGATAGTGTCTATGCAGCAGTGGATAGTCTGACAAAGCAGTGATCATGTGCAGCCCGTGGCGTTCTGCAGTATAGCCGCTTAAGGCTGAGCGACGACAAAAAAAGTGTGATTGATAAGCTGTGGGTTCAAGCATCTAAGTGCTTTTTATTAAGCTGGGGGCCAAGGCTACTTGATCAAAAAGCATAGTACTTGCTGAAACCTATCTTCCTCAGCAGATGGTTATCTTGCATGGGTTAGGTATAGCTCTTGCTAAATTACCAGTCTTCTGCTGAAGTTTGTGATCTGCTCTGCTACCTTCTGTGAGCTCAGAGGTATTCAGTAAGTGCACGTTGTAAGTTTAGTTTTTAATAGCATTTTTTTAAGATTTATAAGAATCAATGAAGAAGGAGTATGGCTTTTTTGGATGTGAAGGTCAGTGATAATTTGAACTTCTTGCATGTGACATCTGGATTACTGGAATCGTGTGGGTTTTTAGCTTTTTCATACTGATAGCTATCTTCAGATTCCAATGATTGAGATCTGTGGGAGTTCTGTATAGTTGTTGCATATATGTCTTGCACAGTCCTTTTATTAAGAAAACCTTTAAGTTATACATCATCAAAATAGTTAGCTTAAATAACTCCTACCTGAAAATATTTAGTAGATAATCATGCTGGTGAACTTGAATTTCCTCCTCACATCATATCAGTGTGGTTTTTTTTTTTCTTTAGGGGGAAGGGACATTAACAACAGATGTTATGTAGAGATGACAACACTGAGGCGTTCTGATCCTATTTCCCTTGGTTGGGTGTGCAGGAATAGGTTTGTTCTTGTTGGAAGCAGTGTGAAAAATACTCCCCTGAAACCAGGTGTTATCAGGGTGCAAACAGTCATTTAAGGAAAATCTGGATGAAGTGCTACTCAAAGCACTTAAAATGTTTCATGGAATGCTTTGGCAAAAGGTACAACTTAAGAAAGGTATGTGTTCTTCCTGCTAAGTGAAGAATTAGCCTGTTTTGGATGACAGTGTAGAACAATGGCTCCCAACCCTACTGTTTGGCTTAGGCTTCTGCTAAACTGTGTCAATGATAACATAAGCTTTATAGTACCAAACCCTCATCTGACTGTCTAAGTAGTCCAAATTCCATTGCTGTTCAACACTGCATAAATGAATGGGAGGTAGGCAGTGATGTTAAACATGATGTGCACGTTGAATTCAATAGAGAAGTTCAGAGCAGTGTTCGGAGCACTTTAGTTAGCAGGACATACTCATTTTTGGATCTTTCTTTAGCAAATATCAGCCTGCTACTCGTGCTTTTAGCTGTTACTTTTTGTGACCTCTTGGAATGGTTTGCATGCCACAGCTTGAAAACTACTCGTTGAGAGTTTGCTGGGGATTAAGGGAAGGAGGGGGCATGCACAAAAAACCTAACAACAAAAAACCCCACCTTGTATAGTGTCAGGAAGCATAGCAAGTCTTGGAGTAACTGCAGTGTGTCACTTGACTATTCATCTCAGTAGTCTCCTTGAGAATTTGATCAAGGTGGATGGTACTAAATTATAGACTGAGAAAAGATTTTAGTTAAAGTTGAAAAATTCAATGAATGGGAAAAATACTCTCATGTTACTTGACATCCAGAGTGTGACTATATTCAAAGATCTTGCTGTCTTTTTGTCACAGGTGTGGGCAAGAGCAGTTTGCTGTTGCGTTTTGCAGATAATACGTTCTCAGGTGAGTATTTAGCTTACTTAAATAAGTGAAACGGTCAAGGACTGCTCCAGTGCTGTTAGTGGGCGAGGAGCTGTTTGATTGCATTTGCCCGCTGATAGCTGTACTGGAAATATGTTATCTTTCTAACTGTGCTTCTCTTGGCATAAGCCTATAGAAGCCATCCTGTTGGATCTTCACTTATAACTGCAAGCACCAGGGTATTTAAGTACTGACATGTTTTAGGAATAGCTCATTCTTTTGGGCTTGTACTGTGCTCTGTGTAGACTTCCTGTTGGCCCTTTGGGATTTAGGCTGATTGAATATTGTAGCTAAATCATTCACATTTGTGACATAACTGATTTATTGGGAGGAAACTCCTAGGACAGACTGTATTCAAAATAAGTGACTGCATTAGTGTTTGAGACAAAGCTCTATCTCAAAACTTTTACAAGTGAAATACTTTCATAGTTACCGTCCATTTCTTAAGATATTTATGTGCTTATTTTTGACAACCAACGTGGTAGAGGATGAATTGGCTTTTTTAACACTGGGTTTTAAACCCTTTAGTGTGGGATAGGAGAGAAGTGGCTCTGGGGTGTTAGAAAAAAGCTGTTAACTGCAGGTAAAAGTAGCAGATTGCCATGACCTCAGAGGGCATTTTAAAAGATGAATGGATAGGGGGAACCTTGTTCTCGCGTCCAGTTTGAGAGCTATTGCCAAATCAAGTTTAGAAGTGTGCTTTGTGGAGACATGCAAAATAAACAAGACTTAGGTTCTCACTTACTTTCTTTCCCTTCAGGTAGCTACATTACCACAATTGGAGTGGATTTTAAAATCCGGACAGTTGAGATTAATGGAGAGAAAGTGAAGCTACAGATTTGGGACACAGCTGGACAGGAGCGCTTCCGAACTATCACATCAACGTGAGTATAACTGGGCTTTTTAATATGTAACTTCACATATGGATCTTGTAGTCTAAAGTTATGGCTCAGATATTTTAACCTTGCGGTTGATCAGCTAATGGCAACTGTGCTGTTTGCGTAGTGGGACTTCTCAGCTTTTTTAGAGTAGATGGGGGTGGTGATGATACTGTGGTTTAGCTGTGAAACTGGGATTTCAGATTTCCTGGCTGTTCTGTAAATTTCCATGATGGCTTGGCCTTATTCTTCTGCTTCCAGTTTCCAAACTGTAGCTGGGGTTATTTCACTATTTTGCATGTATTATTAAACCTAACTCTAAAGACTATCCAAGAAGATCATCTTGTGGTTGAATATGTTGCAGAAGTGCAAAGTGCAGACCCTCTCTCTGTGAATAGCTTTGAGGTCTAAAATTGGGTATCCAATACTTATTTTTCCTTTAGGACAAATGCATTTGGAAGGCTACCTTTGTGTGGGGTTTTGTTGAAGCAGACACCCACATGAAGTTAACCTTTTCCTTGGTTTGAGTTCAGTTTCATGCTCATTGTCCTTCTGAACAGCGTGTGCACAGCTTTTCCTGTTCCTGAAGAAACCACACCCAGAGCTGCAGTGGTGGGAACTAAGAATAAAGTGCGCTTGTAAACTAATCCCAGTGAATGTGGGGCTGCTCATCATGGCACTAGGGGGAGAGGAAGAAATATGCTTGGAAATAGAGCTTTTGTCTCCTTTTGGTATTTAAAACAAACAAAACCCTAGGCGTTTCATCTATTCTTTCATGACTGACTGCTCCTTTAGCTCCTGTTAAGAGAGGAGGGTCATTTTTAGCTCATGTATTGGTTAATTTGGACACAAAAAGTAGTGGAATTGGTTGCCTCTGTGAGGTCTAAACAGCTAGAAATGGGAGAATTGAACCTGATGCGTGCACCACCCCTTTCCTCTGCCTTTCTATACGGATATTACTGGATTACTTCCATTGTTTCTCAAGTGTTTAGCTTGAAAAAACTTGGTTGCCTCTCATAGGGTTCCTGTGCATGACATCACTTCTTGTTTCAGTGCTGCAGCCAGCTTGAGGCAGGAAGTGGCGAGGGGGAGGCAGCAAAGCACTGCTGCAGCTCGTATCAGCTGTGCTTGTAGGCTAGTCACAGAGTGCCTGAATTAGTGCTGAGTCAGCAAATGGCCTTCCTGTTTTCAGATTCCCTGACACAACTGAGAGCTGTGTTGATGAGTATTGGTTCATGGGGCTGAGGGGCTGATGCCAGCTAGATTAGAAAGCCATGGTATCCAGCACTGAATGGGGAATACCAGGAAAGGAGGCTTCCTTTTGTGAATGGGATTGGATTTTGCATAGTGTTTTGTGTAAATCTTTTCCTTGATTCCATTATCACTTAAAACAGAGAAAATGAAACTGTTAGTGTGTTTGTGTCATGATGTGTTTGCACTTTACTAATGCTTACTCTTGCACAGCTGTTTACAAAGGTGAATATAAGTTTTACTCTTGGGGGAGTGTAAGGCCAGTTTTTCTGCCTTAAAACTGGTAAAGTAGCTACAGAATTTTCCATGGCTAGGGGAGAAAGATTTGAATTTTGTGCAACATGAAGCAGAGAAGTAGCTGTGTTCAAGTGCCTCTGAAATGTTGAAGGAAATGCTTCTGGAACTCTAGTTATGCAGTAGTGAGGGCTTCTCTTGCTGCTAGGTGGGCCAGCTGTGACCGTCAGGCATTCCCTGCTGTTCTCCCAAAGTCACTCTGGACCTAGACATACCATCTCTATAAATAATAGATAACAAGATCCTGGTTTTAGGAAGGGTTTTGTTGTCTCTCTTTTTAAGAGGCAAAGTAGTGCAGTAACTGATTTGCTTAAACCAAACTGAGTGACAAATTAAATTACCGGGTTATACTTATGAGGGGGCTTGGGTGACCAAATCATGGGTGGGGAGCCTTGTAACAATGACTGTTTAGACTGAGGTGAAGAATATTAAAACGGTATTCCTTGAGCATTACTGTAGGCCAAGACATCCCTTTGCAGTTAAAGGTACTGTGTGGACTGAGATTGAGCCAAGCCGGGCAAACAAGTCTGAAATTAGAACCCCTCAGTCATAACAGGTTGGAAGTGCTACTGTGCAGACCTAGAACTGCAAAATGGCTGAAGTGGTAGGAATTTGATAGTAGAAAATTGGGAGACATTACAAGCTTATAGTATTTTGATTTTACTTAATTGCAGCTACAGAGGCTGAAGGTGGAAGAACAAAATAAAACTGTTAAGCAGCAGAAATGGAGTTGATCAGGAAAACTAAACCAGATCAGCATTTCAAACTGAGAAATGTAAAAGACAGCAGCTCTTTCTGTCTATTAAATCTGGAAATATTGGGGTGGCTGGTGCCTGGTGGGAGGTGAGGCCAATTTGTGTAAACTGGTTGGCATGGAGCATCATCCCAACTCTAAATTTTCATTTAAATTCACTGGAGAGGTAGCATGCCAGGACTCAGCTGCATTAGTGGAAATACTTCAGATGCATGAACAACCAGTTCCTGGACTTGATCTGTTATTGTATATAGGACTGTGTCCTTATTTAGGACTGTAGTTCTTGGGTGTAAGTTTTAAATAATACCCTAAGCTAATATCTGAAAACTAAACAGTCCTAGCAGGACTTTCTGCCATCCGTTTATATGGAAATGCCACCCTCAAGAGGGGGATAAGCTTTTTTGAGATGATAGAGTTGCTATGTGCTGGCTATGATGGTCAAAAGATAGTCAACTGACCTGTGGCAATAAATATGCTTCCAGCCAACCTGAGGAGAGGTGAGAATGAAAATAGATTGTACATTAGAGTTCTCTGGAATTGGTTAAAATTCTAGAGTAATGGAGAACAAAGGAAAGGTGTATACCATGAACAAATGAGCTCTTAACAAAGATGCTGGATTAGACCAATGACTGTGACCTATCAAGTTGACTTCCCCCCCACCCCACCCCCCAAATGAACCTGTTATCCCCACTGAATTGCTTAAAAGCAGTCAGTAATACTCTCTCTTCAAAATCTTACTTAGTAGCCTTCATACTTCACAAAACTAGCTAGTATAACTCAAGATGCTAGTCTTGGGAAGCATTTATTGGAGGAAAGATGAGAATTTAAGGTTGTTCTTGCAGCATTCTCTGTTACAAGATAGCAGTAATTTATTGCCAAATGATCCCTTCTGTTTAGAAGGGTAGTCTTCAGAGATGTAAAGGGAGAATGCAGCTGGCTGAAAGACATAATGAATTTGGTTAACCAGTTCTAAAGACTTTCTTTTTCAGTGTCTGGAGTATTAGTAGGTAATGTTTCAAAGGCCGTATGTGTATGTCTTACGTCTTTAAGCTTTTCTTTATATAATTCTATTGGTAAAACAAGGCACTTCAGTATTTCTGTTTTGATATGCATTTAAATGTTGTTGTTCTCAGATTTTTCTACAACAATGCTAAATTTCCATGTTTAAAGCCTTTATGTCTGGGTAACTTTTCCGACCATATTACAGATAGTTGTCTACTACCAAGCGTCCAAGGGCATATGCATTTGGGAAAAACTTGGGATTTGCTTAACATCTTTCATCTCAATGGGACACTTCCTTGGACACGCTAAACATTAATAACTATTCTATAACTCTTTATTTGCTGTATTTCATTAACATATTTATCACTGGGAGTAGTAGCAGCTTACTTCTGAGGCTTGTAGGGTGCACCTGCCATATGGAGGACAACTAGTATCAGTCATTCAGACCTTGCATGGGAGGCTAAGAATGAGAACTTCATTTCTCTTTTTGCTCTTGCTTACAAGGTCTCCATCTTCCCTAAAAATATGGATGGGAAGAAGATGGGGCATTCTTTCTCTTATATCAAAGCCTCAACTACCTCTTGGTTGCCAAAAGCACAAAACTTACACCTACTCCTCCTTGAATGCCAAAAGCCCCATCTGTTCTCTACCCGCCAAAGCCTACAACTTCTTATGAAAGCAATTCTGCACTACATCATTCTGAAGTTAGAAGTATGGGTTAGGATAAATCAGATTTTGTTTTATAGGACTGTCCTGCACTTGGGATTGGAGAGTCTTTGCTGCATCTGCTAGGCTTAAAATGTTTTCTAGGATACAAAGCTTTATCTAGCAAATGATAGAAAATAGCATGACTAGCTTTTTGAGAAAAACGTGTGTATTATGGGGCTTAAGCTTCGGCAAATAAAAGGTAGTTGTAGTCTTACCTCTCAGGCTGCTAAAAGGTAACATCAGCCAGTGGAGAAAACGACATTTTATTGTCAGTGAGGGGCTGGCAACCTTTCTAGAATGATGTGCCAGACAACTTTCTCTTCCCAAAATGGAAGCAGTGTGTGCTGGTAGGAACTCAGCAGGAGTCAAGGGTTGCCATCTTGCACAAAGCAAGATATTTCTGATGAGGTGGCTGCCAATGTTAGTGCTTTGTGGCAGCAAGTCCCAGCTTCTGCAGAATTTTGAATGCTGTGGTGGTCTGTGCTGTATGGTCCAGTCCACGGTCCTCATTCCCAGGTGCACGCAATGGCTGTATGCTAATGCCATGTCAGGAGTGAAGGGTGCCTGTCACCCTGCTTCTTAACATCATCAGCTGTCACTTGGAAGAAAGCCTAGATGTATGGGCAAAGTAAGGGCTGCAGGATGCTCCGTTAGGTCCTCTGGTCTGGATGACTGTGATGCCAGTCATGGTTTTACGGTGTGTGCAACAGAATGAGCCTGCCTTGTGTAGATGCATCTGTGGAGCCGCTACATTTCTCTTAAAGGCTAAACCTTGTCTTGACAGATGCAATGCTTAGTGCTGAAGAGGAAGTGGTAGGTCAGCCTGAGAGTTGCTGAATTAGATAACTTTTTATAGTGCTGTGGGAGAATTTGAAAATAATGAGTTTATTGTTCAGATGTCGTGAAATCTGGTCTGTCAGTAGTACTGGAGATGTTTCCTGTTCTGATGCTATCATATAAAACCATTAATCAAAAGCAATGTGTACAGTATGCAGTAGTGTCAGGACAAGATGGATTATTTTTGTGGAATGTGGACTCGGGCTATGTAATACTTTGCTCAAAAGGATCTAAGTTGTGAAATGAAGTCAAACCTGTAACTAGAACAGCTAGAGTGCTATAACAAATTTCAAAGCTGTTAAAGGAACTGATAGAGAACAGATTAGGAAACTTGGAAGTGCGGGGTCTCTAGCTGTCCAGGAATAAACAACTTTCACCTCAATTACTTCTTACTAAGCAAAGTAGATGTACAGCACAAACTACTGGCAAAGCACAGCATAGGAGGATGGGAGAAGTATCTGCTTATCTTGTGGAAGCTAGACAGACCTGAAAGCACCCAGGTGAGCAATAGAAGTGGGTTCTCCTACTTCTGTGGAGTATGCATTGTATCGCAGAGAAATATTGATGTCCAGTGGCTGTCACTACGAAGTGATCGCAAGAAGAGCAGGCTGGGGGATGTCTGTGCACGCTATATGTAATATATGCTTGTCCTTGACAGGTCTGTCTTGATGTTTTATAAAGGCAGGTGTAATCTGTTAAAGATGGGATGATGAGGCTAAAGATGAGGAGGAGATAGTGACTTGCTTAAGTGAATCAGTGGCAGAAGTGAAATTAAACTTCTTGAGGTTCTCTGAAAGGTAGCCTATTTGGATTAGATTAAAAGGTTGTGAAGTTCAAAGGTCTGTTCATAGACTTTGAATAAACTATCAAAGGAAGCTGAGGTTATCGTAGTAGTCATTTCTAAAGTGCAGTGGGAGAGTGCTGCAAGAGGTGCTTATGATATGAGATCTAGCTCTAAAAATATTGTGACAGTTTAAGGGGTATTCCTCAGCTTGTATATGAACATTCCTCAGACTCTTGATATTGCTTATAAGAAAGAGGAGGTGAAAGGGAAAGAATAAAGGTACTTGAGATACAAAAACTGGTGGCTTCACTGTCAACTGCTTCAATGACTTGATTGGCAAAGCTGCCTAATTTGCAGTAGAGAAAACACATGGTAGCCATGTGAATGTGATTGAAAACTGAAAAGCTGGAGCTTGCCTTTTTATACAGAATGCTTGTGGTGCATGTGCTGTCTGCCTTTAGTAGGTTCATGCAGGTGATAATGTTGGAACTTGAATTCAGATTTCCCTTGTACATCAGAATTGCTCATCATCTCTTTTAAAGGTGCTGATTGCCCTAGACTAATGGGAATAAACTGGGGTGAATCTTATTTTTAATTGCTAAAGGTAGTAGAACTCATTAAATGCACATATGGAGTCGATCTGTTGAGTAGGAAGGTGTGATCAGAACACAATCCCTCAACAAGACAGGAATTTTTGTGAGCTCAAGAGAGAACTGTGCCTGAGGGTTGAATGTATCTGGAGATCTGCTAAAATTTTAGTCTGTAAGTAAACTCTTGTAGATAGCAAAATTCCTGCAGAACTTGATATGGCCAATATGTCCCTGGCCTTTGACTTTCTCATAAGGAAATGATATTGCTTCGGGTGCTCTTCTGGTACTCAGTAAGCTGAAAGTCCTGCAGTCCACAACTGCAGGAACAGTTGTGCTGAGTGAAGTAAGAGTTTCTCTAGGATCTGTTTTTAGCCAGTCAAGAACAAGAAATGTAAAGCAGAAGAATGGAGTAAGCATAGTGGTGTTTTTCCTCAGATACTTTCTCCAGCCTCCTATTTACAATTGAAGGACTTCCTGAGCTTGAGGTGCGCTTTGTTTACTTAATACAACTCAAACGGTTAAAGGGTATTTTGTTGCAATTTTAGCGCTTGTGCGATGCTAAGGATCAGAACCAATTCTGAGGGCCTATTGGGGATGCTTGCTCAGTTAGATAGAAGATGGTATTCATCTTTGTTTACAATTTTGACTTCCTGAACAAGGAAATAGCTGACAATCTTTTGACTTTGAACCTACTTATATGGGCCAAATGAGCAGATAACTGTAGATTTAGAGTGATAGCATATGGTCTAGCTGTTGTAAAAGAATTCAATGACTCCCAGTGGAAAGAAAACGGGGGGCACTTGATTGCCTTAACTTGAGGATTTGTTAAGAATCTTGTAAAAGCTGAGTGCAAGAGGAAGGTGATATGTAGCTTAACATTAACATTTGGTGTCTTTTCCTGCTCCATAGGTATTACAGAGGAACACATGGGGTCATTGTTGTCTACGATGTAACCAGTGCAGAATCTTTTGTGAATGTAAAACGGTGGTTGCATGAAATCAATCAAAATTGCGATGATGTCTGCAGGATACTAGGTAAGTTCCTGGTCAGAGAGTTAGAGCATCATATCTAGTGGGCCCTCTGTCAGTCAGCCTGGGCTGTCCTACTCAAGTGCAGTTCTGACTCTTCTTTTTCTTCTTCCCTTTCTTAGTGGGGAATAAGAATGATGACCCAGAGCGAAAAGTGGTAGAGACAGAAGATGCTTATAAATTTGCTGGGCAGATGGAGATCCAATTGTTTGAGACCAGCGCCAAAGAAAATATTAATGTGGAAGAGGTAATATGATATGCAGAACGGAGTACATATAAAACTACTTGGGAATAATAGTTTAGAAAAAGTAAGAATAGCATTAGTCGTCTTGAGGAAGAAAGGTAACATGCTTTGTATAATTGCAAGCAAGTAGTTAAAATGTCAAGAAGAGACATCCAGCAGTATTTGGAAGGGGTGGGGAAGGGAAATGAAGGGGACCCCATTGCCTTTTCAATGGTTTTACAGTGCTGACTTATTATGTTTTCTCAGGGAAGTCTCCTCGCATGGGGAGGATGCTTCTAGAAGGATGACTGTTAACTCTTCACTCCTGACCTCTGTTGTCAAACTGACCTGTTTTTATCTACTGTTTTGGCAAAGGGCGGAGAGGGGTTATTGATTTAGCTTGGGAGTGGAAGATACTGGATTTCAGCCTTAGCCTGTAGTGGGTCTGGGAGATCGCTGAACCATTGCTGAAATATCTAGAAAAGTAGATGCTGTTCTTTCTGAAGCAACTCCCTCAACAACTGGCCTCAGTTTACTAGATGGTCTGAACTTGCTTGTTTCTCTTGCAGATGTTTAATTGCATTACAGAGCTAGTTCTGCGAGCAAAGAAAGAAAACTTAGCAAAGCAGCAACAGCAACAACAGAACGATGTGGTGAAGCTAACGAAGAACAGTAAACGGAAGAAGCGGTGCTGCTAATGCCCTTTCCCTGCTGCAGAGACTCTGCTCTCAGACAGATCAGCCCCTCCAGCTAGACTCGGGCAATTCCACTGGGGCAGGCTTTGGGAGGACTTTCTCAGTTTTGTGCCGTTATTTAAAGATTTTTTTTTTCCTCCATGTTTTCTATCAAGAGGCGCTGGCACCCTACCACTTCAGTGCCAAGAAGGTATCGGATGGAATCTTGCCCCCGTCTCCTCCCCTGCTCATTCCAGTGCGCCTTGTAGACAAGAAAGGACGTTGCCTACCAAGTGGACTAATTAACCTAAGAGTTTGTACATAATGTATATTGCTTTAACCAGCCTCGCCTCCCTGTTGTTGCTTTGGCTTATGCCTTCTTAATGTCAACCAATCATGGACTGCAGAATTCATCTTTTTAAAGAAATAGTACAAAGTTCTTAACTCAAGTTGGCCCCAGGCTGGCAGCAACTGCTTCCTGGAGCCTTGGGGCTTCGTTTCTTTTGGGCTCCAGGCTGGCAACTGGTGCCCCTGGGGCCTGTGGCTTCACTTTGAGTTCCAGGCTTTTACTGGGGCTCAGGCTTTGTTTTTCTCGGTACCAGGATTGCAGGTGTTGCTGCTGGAGCCTGGGGTTTCACTTCACCAGCCTCTGGGCTGGCAGCTGGTGCTGCTGCTGGGGCCTTGAATTTCAGTTTGCCATGATCCAGGTTTGTGGTTGGGTCCTTGGATTTCACCTTCTTGTGCTGCAGCCCAGCTGAACCTGTGCTCTCCTTTGGTTTGTATCAAGGTATTGAAAAACTTACCAACCTGCAGAAGTGGGATTTATTTGGATTAATCTTTTTTTTTAAAAAAAAAAAAAAGCAAAAACAAAATTAAACTACTTGGACCTTTGTCTCTGGTCCTGCCAGGGTCCTAAGTGAGAGTCCATTTCTCTTGAGAACAAGAAAAACATGTGATTCTGCCAAAAAAAAAAAAAAAAAACCCAACACTCTTTTCCTCATTGCCCTGTCCACGATTAGGAGATCTGAACTTGAATGTGAATTTTGGTGGCAAAACTTTCTTTTTGCAAGAGAGAAGGCATGAGAATGAATTTAGCTGTTCTGGATTGATGTCTTGATGTGAAAGCTGCTGCAGGATCACTCCCAGGATTCTTCTGTTAGAAAGGAGGACTGCTGTTTAATGTAAAGAAATGGAAAGCTTGCTTGCTTGGGTTATGTGGTGATGAAGGATCACCTATGGACACAAACTCTGGTCTTGTTATGCTCAGTAGTGTTTTCCTGGCCCTTGTTGGCCTTTCTGGGAAAACAAGGGCTCAGTTCATCAGCCTGAATAGGTATGGTTCAAGGTGGAGAGTTTATGTATGTGTAACTAAAATATCAAATGTCTGGGCTGAAAAGTACATGCTCAGCACCTGAATAATTGCCTAAAAAAAAAAAAATCCTTAAAACGACTAAAAGGCATGGAGGGTATGGCTTCTTTTAAGACCTCAGACGGACATATTTAGTTTCAGTATGTAGTCCTATGGAACTGATGGCCTTAGTTTGGTAGGATGTTTCACTGATGTCCATGAGCTTTGAATCAGTCCACTTCCTCCCTGAGGAGAGGCTAAATTTTAGTCACTTATTTTGCCTGTGTGGTGTTTTTTTTTGTTTGTTTAAAGATTCTTATGGGTTGTGGTAAAAGCCCTAAGCAAACAATCGCATCACAATCAATCACTTTAAAGACTTAAAAAAAAAAAAAAAAGAAAAAAAAAAAAAGCAAGCAATGAATGTGTAACACACTTTTAATCGGTTCAGGTGCTGGGAGTATGTATCCAGCTGCCTTCACCCATTTCTTTTCTTCACATATCTTTTATTGGTAACCCAAGAATAAGAATGAGCTGGGATGATATTGCTAGTGTGAGCTCTATTAATGGCAAGATTTGAGCCACCTCTTTCCATAGCAGCTCTCAGGTCCCACCAGGCATCCATCCTGTATGCTTTCTGATGTTAAATGTGGTGCGCACACAAAGAAGGAGCGCTATCATTTCCTGCTGAAATGAAGCTGTCCTGTGACAGTTACCACTTTCAGAGTCAAGGGCCCAACGGCATTACTTTTGGGCTCTTGTGGTAGCATGCGTGCAGACCTAGGAAGGAGTAACTTCATACAGGTGGCAGTAAAGGAAAATGTCTGAATTTACTGGAATGGATGCAATAAAATGAGGAAATGGTGCACCCAAGCCTGGAGTGTTCTCTTATGTGGAAAGATTGGTCCTCTTTGAGTCCAGGTCTTTGTGGCCACAGTTTGAACTCTGCCAACTGAGGTGTCCAACTTCCCGGCTTGAAGTGGGATATTTTTTTTTTTGTTTTTCCTCCCCTAGAGCTGGCTGTAGAGGAGCAGTTATCTCCCTGCTCTTGCCACTGACTATCCAAATAGAAGGGGTGGGGACTTCGTCTCTAGTGGTGGTGATGTGAAGTTTCCTAAATGTCAAGCAATGGAATGTCTAACTGGTTTGCTAGGATTATTTCTGTAATGAAAGTTTCTAATTATGCTTTTTAAATAATTTTAAAAAACTAAAAATAAAGATTACATGCTGCCAAATCTGTTTTGAGGCTCTGTTTCCCCTGCTGTCCAGCATCTGGAGGTGGAGGGTGGCAAGCCAGGGATGAGCCCTTCTGCTGTATGTGGAGTTTTTCTTTTTCTTTTTTTTTCCCCCCTGGGAGGCAGGACATGACAAATGCTTTCAAATGTTTAGTTGCTATTGTAGTTCTAACTGTGAATGAGTCAGTAGGTTGGAATTGGTAAACTTACTTCTGTTCCTTATCTCTGCATGAAAGTGAGATGTTGGTTGTTTTTTTTTTTGCTAGATTTTTTTTTTTCTTCCCTCCCAGTTTCTCAATAGGTATTGAGGGAGCTTCAGAGCTGCTCAAAGGCAGCAGAGGTTAATAAGAATCTGGAGTCTGTTCTTGCTTTCCCAGGAGTTTCTGTGCAGGGGCTACACAGCTTTTGCTGTGCTTGTTGTCCACAGTATTCATTTAGCCCTCCCTGCCCTTGACGTATAAAGTGGGCTGTTGGAGGCAACTGCTCGCTTCTGGAGGAGTGGGAAGAAAGCCGGCTGTGGGAAGGTGTCTCTCTTATCTGCACTGTTCTGGTATGGCTATGTAGATGGGGCAATCCCAAGGACGTGTTGATGTTCTAAATTGCAATTGGTGCAAGTTGGAGGTGCTTCACTGTTCATTCATGTTTTGTGTCTAAAATGGTTAAAGTTTGAATATTCTTCCCTATAATGGCCAGCAAACGATATAAATGGCTGGATGGTGGAGAAGATTTACAAGCTCACCTTTCCATTTCCCCATGCAGCAGAAGATGTAAATGCTTCAAATGTTCTTTCTCTAGAACCCTTCTTTTCTGAACACATGAAAGAGCTATATGTGGATGAATTTACTGGGATGATGAAGTACTAAAGATGCTGTTAGGTGTTAAGATGTCAATTTAAAAAGAGAGCTTGTTCCGCAGCTATGCAGAATTAGCAGTGACTTAGAGCTGAGACAGTATCATATAAATGATGTTTTATTCTCAGAACTATTTACAAAAGAAGTAGATCATTGTTTTTACTAAAAATATGCCTTTATAGATTTGTATAATATGTATTTTATAAAAACCATACATTTATTTACATTACTGCTACATACAAAAATTACAGCACTGTGATATATGTACATATCTATAGATACATTCTTTCTGCTTGTCCCTGCTGTGTGCTTTTCCCCTCTCAATCTAAGGGAATTGTTGCGGCAGCACCCAGACACTTCCTTTCTTGGCTTTTGGTTTAAAACAACCTTGCTTTTTATAGCCGAGTGGGGAGTAGAGAGTTTGCCTGATGCAGAGGCATCCTAAGTAGGACAAGTGCATGCAGCTATAAAGTCCTTTTGCATGCAGCACTGCCCGTAACCTCACTTCTTGCTGCTCTGTGCAAAACTGTTCTGTTGTCATTAATTGATCTGGTGTTCATTTTAACGGCAAGCTGCTGATCTAAGCTTGTATTAAGATAAAGTGCTAGTGACTTGCCTTTCATTTACACTTACTTGTCTACAGTTGCTTCCCTTGCTGAGTTTATTAAAGGGAGATTCTTACTCTTCCTTTATGCCAGCATAATAAATGTTTGCCCAAATAGTCACATGTTACTTAACTGTGGGAAAGTTCTTGGTAACCTTAATCTCAGCAGGCATCCTCTCTCTGTGCAATGTTTGAACAGTGACTGTGCAGCACTAATGACTTATTTAACATTCTCGCAAAAGTAAGGGTGAACATATCATATTTAGAGCTGCTGATCCCACCCCTTGAAGCTACTTTGGGATCCTAAGTACCTGCGGGATTACTTTGCTTCCTCCATCTCATTACCTGGAGCTGATGTTTCCTTTTTCCCATGTGTCCTAAAAATATCAAGTATCACCAATGGAGTATCTTCTAACCCAAAGCTGCAAGGGTGATTCCAAGCTAGCCGCTACCGAATGGGTGTGTTACCTTTTGAAGATAAGCATTTCAATGACAGTTCAAGGTGAAATAGTTGGGACCTTGTTAAACCACAACAGGACAAATGAGAATGTGAAGGACTGCACTGGTGAATTTTGAAACAAACAAACAAAAACCCCAAACCTAGCTGCTATGTTAAGGCAGTTTCTGTTCCTGTTGAGTAGCAGCTCAGCACAAGGAGGTCTCCTTTGGTCTGTTGTACAGTTCATCAAACACAATTCTCTTGTACTTCTGGGTTTAGTAGTGCAACTAAGCCCTTTAGGAGAAGGGGGCTAGTTTTAAGAAACCATGCCGGCCTGGCACCTTGGAACGTGCTGACTTTCCTCTTGCAATCTCTTCCATCATTATTTAAACAAATAAAATTGCAATGGGATTAAGGTAGGTTCCTCCTTAAATTAAGCGATGTGCTGTGCATTTCAATTGCCTACCCCTGCAACTGAATGAGTCACTTTCCTCCCAGCAAACAAGTAGCAAAAGGCACCTTTCTTCATCTCATTACTGCATCTTCATTGAATAACTTAAGGCCTTTGCCTTAGGATTGCATACGTACGTGTACGTCGTCACAGGGGCAAAGTCCCACACAGCTGCTGGGCGTGTGGCTTGACGAGAGCTGTGGGGCCTGGCAAATAACTACCGGCAGCAGAACGAAGGGCTGTGAGGACCAAGATGTTCACAGGGCTCTCCCAAAATAAGCAGAGTCATTTTTAAAGAGACGTTGTGTAAGACAACTGTTTTAAGTGTTGCTGGCGTCCGGGAACCCACGCCAAATACTGTAGGTATCCAAGTTTATGTTCATGGGTACCGGCATAACTGAGTCCTGACAACAGGAGATGCTCAGCACGTGCCTCGTGTCTGTGCCCTGTTAAGTGTCAAAACATAGGGAAGAAGAGAAGATGACTTGCCATCCTGAGAGAGTGCTTGGCACGCCACTAAATCCCTTTCCCTCACTTGCACAAGTGAACAGAAGCAGATGCTCAGTTTCCTTCCCTGCCTGTGGGACTCCCGACTCCCTTCCGTGGAAGCACTAAGCTGTATCGGTGGTGCTTTATTTCATTTTGTGTGATTTACTGAAGTATTTCCTGGAGCAGGATCTGGAATTCAGGTTTCATTGCTTTCAAGGAAATAGGTTTTCAGCATCATCCTCAGCCCCAAAGAGTACTTTGCTGCTCCTTGCAAAGTGGAGCAACCCCCGTGTGTTGCCAACGTGGAAAAGGGGGAATGCTCGGATCCTTGTGGGCAGAATTTGTACTGAGGTATTATGAATCCTATGCCCTAGAGAGAGGCTGCTGTTCTGTTTAACTTACCTGCCTCACAGAAGAAGAGGTTAGGTACCTAATTGTAGCAGAAAGCTTGTAATGGTAAATATTGAGCAAGGGTTAGCAGCTCCATGTAGGATGGTATTTTAGCACCTAAGTTGCTGCACAGGGCAGAGCTGAATGTGTACCTAGCTTCATCTCTTATGGCGATAGTGCGGGTAGTAGCCTCTAAAGGGACACAGAAACAAACCTGGGCCTGTGGGTATCATGAGCTGGGAGAATATGTGCAAATTGCATGATAGCAGCAGGACAGCTCTGAATCTAGTCTAGCAAACTGTTTTATGATGATAGACTACTAAAGGGAAGAGCTGCAAGGTGACCATCCAGTGCATAGGGAAGGTCCCCACCGATGTATTGCAGGATTTCCAGCACCACTGTGTGCAGACACCAAATAATCTGTGTTTTTCCTCACTGATCAAATCATGCTCACAGCAAAGCAGGCGCTGATCATCTGTGGTTAAAAGGAGATTCTAGCTATCTACTTGCCAAAGGGCTGAGTAGTAAAACAACCCATAGATGAGAACAAATAGTCAGTGTTTTTGTCAGGCCATAGCTAATGATACTGCGTGAGGCAAAGAGCAAGCTGCAAGTTCTCCAGAGCTTTGTAGATGCCCTAATCTCCTTTGACTTTAGTGAGGGTAGGTGCCTGCATGCTTTCTGAGGATCAAGTCTGCCAACCCAGTGTCAAAGACCTACTGACGTTAGGGGTAGGCTTTTAGTGAGTTATTTCTAGGCATCAGGCTTTTTTGGGGCCCACCCAGTTAAAAAGACAGATTTCTTAACGTGAGAGGAGTACGTGGCTTTGGGGGACGTGTGACTTGGCTGGAGCTCCACAGCTACCCTCAGACAGTGGAGGGAGAGTTGGTGCCCCAGGACTGAACCTCCACAGCTTCACTCAGTCTTTAATCTGTCGTAGATGGTCAGTCTCTTGGGGAGAAATCGACGTTTTATGTGACTATGGACTCTAACTCGTTACTCTGTACCAAGAGGGAGCTGGAGAAGGTCCTAACACCAGCAAGCTTGTAACTGCACTGATCCACAAGGAGCGCGATCCCTGTTGTGATGTGAACAGCTACGCAAAGCTGTACAGGAGACCCCTCTCAGGCTGGACGCACCCCAAGGGCTTGTCTTCCACCACGGAGAGAGCTGCGCCCGTCGACATACACCAGGGCTAGGGCTAGAGCAGCTCGGGTCGCCGTGGGACGAAGGACGATGGCAGGGCGGCGTAAGGGGCTCACTCTCTCTTCTCTTGTGCTGGCCCTCTTCTTTCCCCCGCGCTCGCTGTGACGGCTGTTCTCAATCCACTGCGCTACTTTGTCCTGGGGCTGCTGAGCTCCTTCTCCAGCATGTGAACGTTTCAAGACGACCGGATTATTCTTCGCAGCAGAAACTGGACTGTGTCAAAGCGCCTAAAGTATACCCTGAAGTTTATCACTCCAAAGAACAATAATGAAAAAAAGTTGCTTTCAGCCAATGTCAGTTTGCAACCCTCCAATTCATGTAAACATTTGGTTCAGACCAGGTGTGGTGGAAACAGTGCAGAGTCTCAAGGGTTAATTCCTTTGGCCTCCCCCCCCTCCCTGTTGTTTTTGTTTTTGTTTTTTCTCCATTTTTCCTAGTGGATCAGCGTTGGGTCCCTCAGCGAGCTGGGCCGTCGCCCCCCACTCCCCATCTCGAAGCAGGAACTGCTGGAGAGGCTTCTCTTTCTCGGATTTAGTTTTTCTTGAAAAAGGAAAAGAGACGGTTCCCTTCTGCCCCGGCGGGCTCGTCCCCCTGCTGCTCCGGCCTGGGCGCGGGCGAGGGACGGGCCCCCCGCTTTGCGCCGTAGCCCCTGGAGCAGGAA